TTAAAAAGAGAAGAAAGACGCGTGTATTATGCAAACACGGAGAGCTGTTGCTCAAAAGAGCCTCCGCATGCGACAGCCCCCCCGCCCCCTCCCTCCCTCTCTCTCTCTCTCTCTCTCTCTCTCTCTCTCTCTCTCTCTCCCTTACCTTTTACAACGCATGAAGGTGCGCTAACTTTCTGCGGCATAACAATCTGGCAACACTGCAGCGGCAGACGGCAGAGGGGAAGACAGCGATCTGTCGCCACGACACGCGGCTAGGAGGAAGAGGCAACGTCAGGGAAGTCCAAGTAACGTCCCTTTTTGGGTTGGAAGCCCTGGAAAGTTTCCGAAAATTTCCGGACACTTTCCGAAAATTTCCGAAAAACAAAAACAAAATAAGTTTCGGGATCTTGGAAGTTTTCCGATTTTTTCCGAAATTTCCGGAAATTTTCCAGGGTTTCCAACCCTACTTCTTTCACCTTCCCTTCACCCGCGAGGCCCCGCCGGCACCTCCTCCTTTTTCGTGCTCGGATAAACAGGATTGCAAATAGTGGAAAGGAGAATTGGCCGACATTATAAATGACCAAAGTTTGTCGCTGACTTATCCCTCTAGGCTGTTCGGAGAGGGATGGCAGGGGGGCGCCGGGGAAGCAGGAGGAAGGCCTGGGATGGGACGCCAATGTCTTCGTCTCGCTCGCGGCCTCCTCTCTGACGGGCGTTTCTGTTTCAATTCTATAGACCTCATTACAAACGATCGGGGCTCGTCCAGATACCACCTGGGTGCCCTCACAGGGCGTTGGGTGGAAAATGCTTTTTCGTGGTCGGGGACACACACAACACGACCGAGTAGTCTATTGTTGGTCTTTTTTGAGTCCTAGACTTTTGTTTGGAAGTTTAAATATTGTGTAACCCGCAGTCCGTTACTGGAGTCGTGCCCAGCCCCACCCATCCTTCAGCGGGCCGAACCGAACCGCATTCGGAGAGATGGACTCATTTTTCCCTGCCAGTTTCGGCGGCTGCTCTCCTTGGTCCAGCCCGCTACGGGCCACGGACCGCCAGGGCTTACGCTTTTTTAGGAGAGAGAGAGAGATGGGACGGCGGAAGGGGGATGGGTTGAAGTAAATGCTCGCAGAATTTCCGAGATGCCGAACGAGTCCGACATTAACGAGTGCGGCTGGCGCCGTTATTGCAAACAAACTGGGCCGGACTAAGCAGGAAAAAAAAGCACAAAGCGAGAGAGAGAGAGAGAGAGACCAAGCGCAGAGCAGTCGGAAGCGGGGGCCCACGATGAATAGGGACGAACCATTTAAAAAGCGTTCTTGCCCGTCCCCGCCGCGCGCCGCTGCGGCGAGCGAGCGGTCATTGGCAGGCAGCGCAAAGCATTCTGGGACGACACCCGGGAGGCCAGTGGAGGATCATAAAACCCCTAACGACCCTTGACCTGGTTGATCCGCCCTCGCCCAACCCCTCCGACCCCCTCCAACTCCACATCCTCGGGCCGGGGGAGATCTCGACCCCCCCGCCCCCGCCTCCTCCCCTGACTTGGTAGGAATAGTAGTTGAGAGCTCTGCTCAAAGCTCTGGACTTAGGCACTTTGCCTAAGTTGCGATTGTGTCATACTGGACTCTGGTAAGCCCCCCCCCCCCTCAGAGTACATCGCGTAATGAGAGTGGTGGAGGGGAGAGGGTAAAGAAGAAGAGAGGCCAGGGAGTGGATCAACACAACTTTAATCATCCCCCGTGCCTGTTTGGAGGCGCAGTGCTCGGGGCGAATGCGAACGCCTCCGTTATAGTCACCCGCGCCATCACCCAGGATAAGAAACGGGCGCCATAGGCCGCGCCGCGCTGCGTCCCTACGCCGCCTCGCACCACACACGGTGACACTTGCCGCACAGGACCTCGGTCCCGAACAGCACCTGCCGCACCTCGGCGCGTTGCTGGTTGCAGGCGGCTGTATCGTGGCGCAACCCGTTGAAGTCCCTCCGCAGCACTAGTCTTCTGAGCGTCCGCACCCCACACTGCTGCAGGAGCGAGTGCAGGTCACCGCATCTTTCACTCCCTGCCTTGCCTACCGACAGGTCCAGGTCCAAGCAGTTCAGCGTGCGGCGGTGCGCCCGCAGCAGGGACTGTGTCGTGGCGCTTGGGAGGCCCGACACGCTCAGCCACTGCAGGCCGGCGTGTCCCGGCGGCAGCGCGGGCAGCTCGGGGGGCTGGGCGTACAGGGCGGCATCACCCACCACGTCCAGCCTCCTCAGCCGCGGCATGTCCAGCACCGCGCGCAGGTGGGCCTCGCGGGGGTAGAGCACCTGCAGCCGCTCCACCGTGGGCGCGGCGCGCTGCAGCAGCTGGAGGCTCCAGGCGGGGTCCGCGTCGCACCGCACACCGACCAGCCGGGTCACCTGCGGCAGAAAAGCGTCACTCTCAGGGGCTTTTAGCGGGCCGCAGTCTGAGCCAGGGTGGCGCGAGAGATTGAGCGGCAGCGAGCCGCCACCGCCACCGCGAGCTTCCCTGGCTTCCGCTGAGCTTCGTCGCTCCTCGACCTCGTGCCGCCCGCGAGGCCGCCGTGGTCCAGTCGCACTCACCCCTGGCACCCCCGGCGCTGCTGCGAGGAGGGCCGCCTTGTCCTGCTGCCGGTCATCGGGTCCGGTGAGGCTGACATCATGCACATCCATCTTCCCCACCGGCCACGCCTGTGGAGGAGCTGGGCCTGGGGCTGCAGGCGGCGGGCTCGCGGCCGCAGGCGGGGGACCCCGCGCCTCAACACGACTCTGCAACAGCAGAAAATGATAGTTCTTCTAAGAGAAGAGGCAGATAATAGCACCTATAACTAACAACAATATTGTCTTAAGGGATGAGCCACTGTTAAACCCGAGGATAAAACACTAAAAAGATGATTGTAATGGGTCTGCTCGGAAGTAACGGACTAAGTGTATCCCAATAGTTTCAAAACTTTCAAAATAAAAAAAAAACTTTGTCTTGAGGTACCCGTGTAGCCGCTTGCATACCTCTGTGAGAGCGGCCTTCGCAGCCACGAGCAGCCACATGACCCGGGTGAGGGGGTCACCCGTGTTCGTAACGGTGCCCGTCAGTTCGTGGTCTCTGTCCCTGCCCTGCAGAGTTAAATTCCAGGACTCGGTAGTCAGCAGTGTGAGGGCCTGAACGACCTGCTCTCTCTCATATTGGCGTTTCAGTTCTTCCAGCTGCACAGCCGCCTGCTCCAGCGCGCCCTGCAGGTGTTGCTCCAGAGCCCTCTTCTCGGGCAGGACGTCGTGGGCCTCATCCCAGCAGCGGGGCGCGGCGACGGCGCGGCAGTCCGAGCACCAGCCGCGGGAGGGCCTGTCGAGGAGCAGTGTGGTGGCTTAAAGACAGTCAGGTGCGGGAGCGGCAGAGCGGCTGTCATTGTACGGTGCTAGATAAGGTGCTCACCTGCCTGGGCGCTCCATCTGCCGTAGGAGGTAGAAGTTGTTGAGCAGTGCGTCCGGGGGGACGTCGAAGGCCTAGAAATGGGGTAAGAAGCGATCTATACATAGCCACACGCAAGACGTTTCTCTTTGGCCATTGAGAGATTTAAAGTCCGTGTTGACTGCCGGACTCACCTTGCGGCAGGTCGGGCACTCCTTCCTGTCGCTCTGCTCGAGGCACTGCAGACACACGGTGTGCCCGCACGGCACTATCTTGGGCACGCGCTCCACCTGGTTGAGCTCCTCGAGGCAGATGTCGCAGTCCATGGTGGAGATGCTGGTCCCGCAGGCGGCCGAGTCGCACTATGTCCGACTGAGCGTTCTGCCGCGGCGATAGCGACTGATAGCGATACCCAGATACGGCGTATCGAAAGGACCTAAGGTATTCCCCGCACACTCTCAATCCTGTGGTGACTGTTGTGTTGGTAAAGGCTAAGCAGATCACAATTCTGTCAGGTATTTCTCGCGACTTGATAGTGCAATTTCACTGTACGTGTCGCAAAAACATTTTGGTGATGTCCTTATAAATTACTGCTGTACCAGGACCTGGTGTTTTGGTCCACGCTAAATGTGTATTTATATGTTTCTGTATACAGATTTTCGTTAAACCTACGTTTCTTTGCGGACAGATTTGTGCGCAAAAATGCATGATTTTGTACAAATGACACAGGTGTTCTTGTTAAAAAATGTGTGCAAAATGAAATAGCTTAAATTCCTACAAATGAAAGATTCAAATCCAGTTAGTGTGTGCACACGCCGGCACGGATGGGTTTGCCTCCTCTTTTGTATGCACACTAAAATATTATGAACGTTTTTGTTCGCAGCTTATGAATTTCTCTGTGCGTGCTCCGCTGATGCATTTTTAATACGACACTGTGAAAAACATTGTTATTCAGGCGCGTTAAAAAATGCATAAGCGCAGCATGGTCAGGGAAATCTGTAAATTGTCAATCGAAACGTCCATAAGATTTTAGTGTCCGCATTGAATGGGGATGTGGGTGAAGGTGAGAGTGGTATCGACTCGGCGTACCGTCACGCCTGTGTGACTGCTTGTCCGCAGCCCACGATTGCGATGGCGTTCACGTCTGAGCGAGCTGGTCAGGGTCACGCGTCTCCCGGGCATTGGCGTCATAGTCGCAGCCTGGGATGGGGCAGGTGCTGCCTCGTTTGTGTCGTTTGCTCGCGTTCTCCTCCTGGAGGAGCAGACTCGCCCGCCATGCGCGCGTGGGGTGCGGGTGCCGCCGTCCGCCCGGTGTGGAGCGCCGTCCGACCGGCGCTTATGGTAGCGCAGGTCTGCTCTGTGCTGGTCATCAGCCTCGTGTCGACGGCCAGCAGGTAGATAGATCGGGCCCACTTTGCGAATCCCAACGACTACTGCACGAAAAAGAAAATCATCTGTAATACCTAAAGCAATAGCTACATGGAGAACATTAAATTATTTAGCGATGTAGCAAAAATTAAGCTATGTTATTTAGCTACCTAGCGTAAGTTTTGGCTACACACTTGCACTTTTAGCCGAATAGATACATGTTTTGCGAGATTTTGCTGCTTTGTTTATCTAAATACCTAAAGCCCCTCATCATTTCGCTTATATTTTTTTTTTCCTTGTGGACAATGACGCTGTGCTCAAACGACCTCCGCTCCGCCCGCAGGCTGCCGCCGTGGTACACCGCCCACGCCCTGCTTGTGGCCGCCTTCGTCGCGAGCATGGGCGCCACGTTCGCCTTCTCCGAGCCCCTGCTGGCCGTCCCCGAGAGGGGCATCAAGAACCGCGTCAGATACTTTTGTAAGGGGAGGTGCTGTGAAGTGAGGCCGCGTTTTGTAAACGTTCACTGATGTGGTGCTAATAACGACTTACCTTTGTCACGGTGTGATAATGGCCGTGCTGTTCTCTCTCTCTCTCTCTCGCACTCAAGCGTCCCTCGTCGGGTACTCGGAGGTCGTCACGCTGGTGCTGCTGTGGCTGCGAGCGGCCGGGCGCTGGGCCGGCATGTGGACCCACATCGGTGACCTGGAGGGCCGCCTGTGGGGGCGCGGGGAGCGCCACCTGCCGCGCCTGCGCTCGCACACCAGGGCCGTCACGTGCGTCTTTCTCATCGTCCACATTCGTACGTGTAGGAGCTGTTACCAAACCCCGTGATTTTTTTTAACCGTGGGGTACGTATACTTCCCCCTACGTTCTCATAACGTATGTCTTTAGCTCAAGAGGCCTCTATCGTGTGGCGAAGGCTGGCCTCTGTTTCGAGCCTGTACGACCTGGGTCAGATGACGTGCAGCCTGTGCATCTTGTTGGTGTTTAACGTCAGCGCCATGCTGCTCGTCGTGCTGAGCGACATGCTGGCAGAGTGCTTCCGCGCGCTCACTGCCAAGTTACATTGCGCTTCGAAGAAGGTGAGGGTGAGAGTACCTTGTCGGGGCAGAGAGTGGACTCGACAAGGTTTTCGGGCTGGTCGCGGGCAACGGCAAGGAAACTTTGCCGGATGTCCATTTTTGTTTTGTAACAGCTTGAGATGGTGCTAAGGTTCGTGGTTTTTACTAGAACGGTGGCCAGATCCCGCCGGGCGTCGTGGAGGACGTCAGGGTCCTGTACAACGAGGTGCGCAGGCTGACGGACGCCCTGGACGACATCCTGGGCGCCATACTGCTTGTGATGCTCTTTGCGGACGGCCTCTTCATTTGCCGGTTCCTCCTCCACTGGTTCACGTACGGTTCAATACAAATGTCTGCACTGGAAATCGAAGTGTGTGAATGTCACACATAGGTGAGAGAATCTCCATGCGTTCACTACTTGCGGACACCAGTTTACAAACCACCTGCGTGACATTCATACTCGTAGAAGTGTGCGACATACATACTTTCTGTTTTTAATGTGCCTTGCGTGCGTAAGCGTTCCCCGTCTTGCTCAACCCATGACCGCCCGTTTCTTTCCGCGCCCAGGCCCTCTGTTCACACACTGTACGCATACCTGACTGTGGGCATCGTGACGGCCAGGTTCGTCTTCACGATCCACACGGTCTCTTCGGTGTCCAGCGAGTGGGAGTCGACTAGGTCGCACCTGTACAGAATGTCACCGCACTTGTGCGGGAAGGAGGTGCGTGGGTTTCTTTTTGCGTAAAAAATACGACGACCCATAAAATGTGTCGTGAGTAGGAAAATAAATGTGTCGGATATTACAGGCTTTTGCTTTTATTTTCGATTTAGGTTTCGCGCTTTATCCTGCAGGTCACCACTGACCAAATTTCACTGACAGCTCTTGGCATTGTGCCCATAACGAAACCTCTCATGCTTGCGGTAAGAACACACCGCTGGTTCTCGATCTAAATTTAAACCGATAATCCTACATTAGTTAATCCTACACCGATAATCCCACAGCCCGTGCGGGCTGATGCGAGCAGATTATTGTGTTTTACCGCAAGAATTGAATCGTTTTGATCCATATGCAGGTTTGGGCCGCCATACTGTCTTATGAGATCATTCTCGTACAGTTCAACAAAGGAAACTAAGCCAAAGGGTACTTAGACTTCGGCTTGGCAATTATTGTTTTTGTTTACTAAAAATATGTAATGCAAAACCAATAATATGTGTTGTTTCAGTTCCGGTTGAGGCTAAGGTTTTCGATCATCTCCCCGCATTACCTTCACTCTCAACCCCTCTTCCGCACCAAAGCAATATCATCAGGGTGAGAGTGGCATTGATCCGCTCTTCGGTGTGCTCGTCAGTTGGTCATCACCGCTGGCCGTCACTCGGCTCGATACAGTTCTGCAGTCGTCTGGTCGGTGTCGTCCCGGAGGAAGTGTGGGGTTGGTTGAAGTTTCGCATTCTTTAGAAATGCAGTACGTAGTATGGTGACATGACTCAGTGACGACGCCATTCTGTTGGTCTGCTGCAGTGTAAGCGTAAGCGCGGCTAGGCCCGGATGTGCGCGGGCCGCGCGTCCCGGCGGGGGTCGGCGCATGGTTCCGCGCGAGCGTGGCCACACTGTGGCCACGCCCCGCCGGTACCTGGTGTGGTCGGCCATTCGGCCGGCGCTCCGCACCGCACAAGTCTGGTCCCTGCTGTTCATCAGTCTAGCGTCACCGACAACCAAGTGAGTGAAAATACTAGGGTACCTAGGGGTAAGGACGTGGGGGTACTTAATTAAAAACAAATCAGTGCATCATTATCTAATTAAAAATCAAACAAAAGCAGGAAAAACGAAGAAAAGATCAAGGATAGGAATAGGAGATGCGCTTATATTCTTTAGGCTATATTCTTTAGGATCACCGCACGTTTGGAGTTGATGGGGACTCCATGCTCTTTGACCTGACCCTACACCGGAAAACAAATATCACAATAGCACGGCCCTCAACAGAATGAGGGCCATGCTATATGCACCCCCGTTCCCCCAAGGTTTTCCATGACGAATATATAATCCACCCCACTCTCCTTGGTCTCCGCAGGCTGCCGTCGTGGCACGCAGCGTACGCCCTGCTCGTGTGCGCCTTCATCCTGGCCATGGGCGGTTGCTTCTTCGCAGAATTCTTGCGGACCCCTCCTGAACGGGAGAGCCAGGAGCGCTTCCGTTTCTTCGGTAGGAGGAGTCTTGCCGTCAATAGGCTGCTGTTTCACTTGGCCGGAAGGAAATGAATTCTTTCCGAACTGTTGTTTTTGTGTCTAACTCTGAATGGTTGACGCCATCGTCGTTGTTTGGATGTCATTACCGATCAGACACTTTCGTACTGTAACATCGCGGGAGCACTGTTAAAATCTTACCTATTGCAAAGCTTCCAGACGCTTTTGCGTTCAAGTGCCATTTGTTGTGCGGACCTTTGCAGTGGCAGTCCCTGGCTACTTCGGGTGCGTGGCGCTGGTGCTGCTGTGGGTGCGGGTCGCGGGCCCCTGGTCGGGGCTGTGGGCGCGCGTGGATGAGCTGGAAGATCGGCTGTGGGGGCGCGGGGTACACCGCCTGCCGCAGCTGCGGCGGCGCACCCGCTTTACTGCCTACGTCTTCGTGCTCGTCACTATCAGTGCGTTTCAATAGCACGTAAAAACAAGATTAGATGTATAGCTAAAGAAATTATATTTGGGAGAACTATTCAGTAGGCTTTGTATCTAAAACATTTAGTAATGTAGCTAAACTTTTAGCTATGAAGCTAAACATTTTACTATGTTTATATAGCTAAATTTTGGGCTAGCTAATTTTTGTGCGACAGTGCAACAGGTTATCGTGCTGCTGCGAAGGCTGCCCCCGTCGGGCCTGTACGAGTGGGCTCTGCTGGTCTGCAGCCTGGGCTTCACGGGGGCGTTCAACTTCAGCGCCCTGCTCCTCATTGTCCTGAGCCACGCGCTGGCGGAATGCTTCCGCGCACTTACGGCCGCGCTGCAGAAAACCGCCCGGCAGGTATACGGCCAACATTCGACAACCAGCACTTCAACACTCGGACTTCCCAAATCGGGATCGTTTAAAACGCTCCTCCTCGAATAAGGAACTCTTTTTACCGCATTCAGTTAATGCTACAATTTGAATCCTCTTTAGGGTGATGGTCAGATTCCGACGGAGGCGGTGGAAGGCTTCAGAGTTTTGTACAACGAAGTGTGCGGGCTAACGATGGCCGTGGACCACTGCGTGAGCCCCGTCATTCTCGTGGCAATTTTCACGGACGGCTTGTACATCTGTCGGTTTGTCCTCCTATCATTGGCGTAAGGTTGAAATTTATCCAAAGTGTGCGCTGTTAAAGAAATCTACAGGAATTACTGTAAGTAAAAATATTGTCCTTGTACAAACGTTGGTTGAAACTTCACTTCCATCCCCTTTCTTCCTAAAATATGCGATAAAATTTCACAGTCTTTCTAAATTAATTCTATTCCCAACAATTTTAAACTTGGATTTGAACTGTAGATTTTTTTGACAGTGGAGGAGGGTAACCCCTCAGTGAAGGTGCGTGCTCAGAACCTGGTTGAAAAACGCCCGCTCCTCTCTGCGTGCAGGGTCTCAGCTCAGAACTGGTATTCGTCTGCAGTGGTGACGGTCTGCTTCTTCAGGTTTGTCTGCACTCTACTCACCGCTTCGTCTGTGCACAGTGAGTGGCAAACTACGAAATCATGTCTGCATAGAATGGTCCCGTGCAGGGGCGCTAAAGAGGTACGGAAGCTGCCCATTCCATTTTATTTATACTTCTTTGTAATCTTTATAAATGCCATTGAAAATTTAAGTTCATCAAATTTTTAGGGATGATTACATCTATGTTCTATTAGGCTCGGCGTTTTTTCATGCAGATTGGAACTGAACGGATTTCACTGACAGCTTTAGGAATGGTACCTATCACAAAAACCCTATTACCTGCGGTAAATATATCTTTCTTGTGTATCATTGCTGCTTAAGAAGTTCCCTGACCTTTCCTTCCTCGTTTTCTTCCTCTTTGCTTCATTATCATGTTAATTTTCTTAGACGCTTACTGTCTGTGGTCTTATCTTTACAGGTTTTGGGCGCAATACTATCGTATGAGATCATCCTCGTGCAATTTCAACTACAAAAATTGAAGCTAGTATTTAGTAGTCATTAAACTTTACCCAGTTACGAATCTGCCCTTCCACAATGCTCTCTCCAACCGTGCGCTCGATCGCATACAATAAGGAAAACACGTGAACAAAATGAGGCCGAGCACTAAAATGGAGACACTTTCAATCAACTAACTCAATGTATTAAACTAAACCCAAAAATTAATCAAACAGACCTTTAAAGATTGAAAAAAAAATGGATATTTGAATTTTTGATTACTAGCCGACGGCATCAGACGTGTCTTAAAAGCAACAATTAAAGATCTTTTTCATAAACTATTTCAGAAGAAAAGAAACGTTCTTAAAGAATAAATACATCAAGAAATGTGAAATGTTACTCGTATGTCTCTAGTTTTTAGACAGCGGAGTTGTCTTCTACGATCGTTTTGCCCCGATAGTCAATTGTTTTACATGACCCTTTATGGGATATTAGAAACCGGTCTAACGATTTT